AATCTCTGCCCCTTAATGGCTGTCCTTGGCTTGTATTTGATGTCAAACTCGCTAAGTTTAACGACCCATTTAATTAGTCTCCCCGAAGATTCTGGCTTGTGCAGCACCTACTTCATAGGTTGATCTATCAGGACTTCGATAGTATGAGCCTGGAAGTAGGGTCTTAGTCTCCTAACAGTTGTCACTAAGGCTAAAATGAGTTTTTTTCATTTTAGGATACCTTTCTTCTGCCCCCCTCAGAACTCGGCTGCAGTAGTAAATCGATTGCTGAGCTTTGTCCTTCTCTCTTACTAGCGCTGCGCTGGTTGAGAACTCTGAGACAGCTAGGTAAAGGGTAAGTACTTCTCCTTCTAATGGACTTACCAAGACAGGTGGGGAGCTCAAGTATTCTTTCAATGCTTTGAAGGCTTCTTCATACCAAGCATCCCATTGAAAGGCTTTCTTTAAAACTTGAAAGAAGGGCTGACACTTGTTGCTTGATCTGGAAACGAAGCGACTCATGGCAACTATTCTCCCGGTTAAACACTGTATTTCCCTCGTGTTGGAGGGAGACTGCATATCCAACACTGCTTTTACCTTTGCTGGGTTAGCCTCTATCCCTTTGCTATTAACTATGAAGCTTAGAAATTTTCCTGCTGACACCCCAAAGGCACACTTAGCTGGGTTGAGTTTTATCTTGTATTCTCTCAGAACCTGAAACGACTCTGCTAGGTGTCCAATGTGGAGCTCTGCCTTCAATGACTTGACCAGCATGTCGTCAATATAGACCTCCATGGAGGTCCTAATCTGTTTTTGAAACATTTTATTCACTAGGCGCTGGTAAGTGGCTCCTGCATTTTTTAACCCGAAAGGCATCACTTGATAGCGGTATGTCCCTTGCTCAGTTATGAATGAGGTCTTCTCTTGGTCATTAGGATCCATCCTGATCTGATTGTATCTAGAGAAGACATCCATGAAGCTGAGGAGCTCATGTCCCGTAGTGGCATCTACAATCAAATTAATCCGGGGTAAAGGAAAACTATCTTTCGGGCAAGCACGGTTGAGATCTGTAAAGTCAATGCAAAGACACCATTTGTCGTTTGTCTTCTTGACTAGGACTACATTGGCTAGCCATACTAGGTAATCCACTCCTCGAATGGCTTTCGCGTGAAGGAGCTTGCTGACCTCTTTGTTGATGGCTTTCTGACGCTCTGGGGTGAAGCTCCTCTTCTTCTGCTTAACGGGCTTACAGGCTGGATTCACGCTAAGCTTGTGAGTGATGATAGAGGGATCAATCCCTTTCATGTCTTTTTGCTTCCATGCAAAAACTTCCTTGTTCCTTTTCAGGAATTGGATGAGGAGATCCTTGATCTCCTTGCTCAGCTTGGATCCAACGTAAACAAGATGCTTTGGCTCATCAATTTGAACAGGTTCCAGCTCTTCTGATGGTGTTGGACTGGTCTCGAGTTCATCCCTCCTGTCAAGCTCATCCAATTGGATGCTCTCAAGCTCCTTATTTCTCATGGATGCCGTGTAGCATTCCTGTACTACGCGCTGGTCTCCTCGGACCACTCCAACTCCGTTTTCTTTTGGAAACTTCACTACAAGGTGATAGGCAGAGGGAATAGCCCTTATAGAATTGAGCGAGGGTCTTCCAAGGAGCATATTGTATGCTGAAGGTGCATCAACTACTAGAAATTTNACACTCCAACTCCGTTTTCTTTTGGAAACTTCACTACAAGGTGATAGGCAGAGGGAATAGCCCTTACAGAATTGAGCGAGGGTCTTCCAAGGAGCATATTGTATGCTGAAGGTGCATCAACTACTAGAAATTTCATAGTTGTTGTAGTCTGACAGGGTAGGTCACCCAATGTCAAGACGAGTTAGATTGACCTCAGGGGCAACACCCTTTCTCCTGAGAATCCCAATAGGTGGGCACTTACTGGTTCAAGCTTTTCCTTTCTTATATCCATTTTGTCGAAAGCAGAAGCAAAAATGATGTCTGCCGAGCTGTCATTGTCAATCAAAACACGATGGACAGTCCTGTTGGCCACCACAGCTCTTACCACCAAAGGGTTATCATGGGGATGTTGGTNTTTCTTATATCCATTTTGTCGAAAGCAAAAGCAAAAATGATGTCTGCCGAGCTGTCATTGTCAATCAAAACACAATGGACAGTCCTGTTGGCCACCACAGCTCTTACCACCAAAGGGTTATCATGGGGATGTTGGTAGCCCTCGAGATCTGAATCTGAGAAAGTGATGACCGTGTCTAAGCGTGGAGACTTGGACACAATATATATTTCAGGAGCTTCTATGGCTCTGATTTTTCGCAAGTGGGCCTTTCTGGTAGAGCTGGACCCTCCTCCTCCAGCATATCCTCTAGATATCACTCTGATCTCCCCTATAGGTTGTTGATGTGGCTCTGGTACTTGACGCTGAAGGGGTGGAGGTGGGAGAGCTCGATTTTGATTATCATTGGCCACATAGCATCGCAGCTGCCCTCGCTGGATTAGAAATTCTATTTCCTTCTTCAATTGGATACAGTCATTGGTGTGATGACCATGGTCTCTGTGGAAGTCACAATACTTCGTAGGATCCCTTTTTGCCGGGTCTGCTTTCATCCGGGGTGACCCCCTTAAGAACTTCTCATTTTGCACCTCATACAGTATCTGAGACACTGTAGCAGTTAGAGGGGTGAGCTGCCGGGGTGCATATTTTGGTTGTAGCTCTGGTTGCGGAGGGCCGAGGTGATCCCTGACATTTCCTCTTCTCTTCGGGGAACGCTCTCTATCTCTTCTTGGAGACCTGCCTCGTTCTCTTTCCTTTCTGGGACTTCATTCTCTCTTCTTTTCTTCCTTCCCTTTCTCCTTTCTTGACAAAGAGCTCCCGACCTTGGAGAGGAGCGCTTCCTCACCATTTATGTACTTTTCTGCTTTGGCAAGCACCTCTGCCATACTAGCCTGGGGGTTCTTTGAGATGGAAAATATCAGATCTTTTAACTGAACTCCCAGACCTGCTATGAAGGCTGTAATAGCAAATTTTTCGTCTGGGACATCCATCTTCAGGGATTATGAGTTGAACCGTTGGACATAAGATCGCAGGTTCTCATTAGGTCCTTGTTTCACATTTAACAAATGGTAGCTCGGTTTCCTATAGGTCCGAACTCCGATGAAGTGGGACACAAATGAGATTGACAACTCTTTAAAAGAGAAAATCGAGACTGGGGGAAGTCTGTTGAACCATGCTAAGACTGAGCCCTTCAGGGTGATAGCAAAGGCCCTGCATCTCACTGGATCTTGATATCTATGCAACTCCATTTGGTTTTTGTAGGTGTTGAGGTGGTCCACGGGATCCTTTGTCCCATCGAAAGTATCCACCTGCGGCATTCTGAATTTAGGTGGGAGAGGGAAGTGCAGCACCCCAGTAGTGAATGAGGATTCGGTTTGCTGCACCAAGGCATCCATAGTGACTGGGGCCTTGCTCTTCACTGCCTCCTTCATCTGACTGAGTTTTTGCTGGATGTCTTTGAAACGTTGCTCTCAGTGGTGTTCTCTTTTCTCCTGTTGATAAGGGAAGACGTCGCTGCTCTCCCTTCCTTATGCTGACTTTGCACTTCCTTGTTGTGACCATTTCTAGGGGGTAGGCGAGGTTCTTGCCCCAAGGTCTGGCTATTCTCTCCCACCTCATTAACTTCTCGGAGGGGGTTGAGATACGGTTGCTCCCTTGGTGGTGGATTATTCTGGCCTCCTTGGGCCGGTCGCGCCTCTTGTGGGCGTTGTAGGAGCTTTAAGAGCTCTTCGTTCTGTTTTATCAGACGTTCATTAACAAGACGAAGGGCCTCCATCTCATTATTCATGGGAAGGCCTCCCATGGGAGGATCGGCTTCTTGCGCGTTTTTGGGTTGTCTGTTATTTGCGGCTTCTTGTTGATCTTGCATCCGTAGAGGATTGGTTTGACTTTAACTCATGTTTCGCGTTGATACCATCAGTCACTGAAAAATCAGCTTTATTTGTAACAGGAACAGTCGTTCCCACAGACGGCACTAAATTGATGGTGTTAACGCACTTTTACAAAAGATAGGTTTGGGATCACGTTAGGTTGCTAAGATGATGCAATAATATTCAGGGCTTTGGAAATTAAGACAACAGAATTATAGTGGTTCACCAGCTCGGGAGCTCAGCTAAGAATGAAGGCTCTTGCTCATTTTGTTTCATTTACTGTGATTACAAGGTTGCTATGACTTCTTTGTGCCACTAGGGTTCCCCCCTGTTAGGAGGTGTTATATTGAATTTATAAGGTCATTCCCTGCTAAGTGGGATCCTGGCCGAGATTCTTGTCCTTACTTCATGGGGTTCTCCCTAATTTTAGGAGAAGATCTTGGTTGGGTGAGATTAGGTGCCTTGATTGTAGTTTCCTAACGCTTTATGAACCTTTCGTGATTATCCAGTAGTTGCCTTAGTTGTCATTGCCATTACTTATCTCGAGGGGACCTCCAGCTCCACTCTTCCGAGTTCTGCTTACCTAGTCCGATCTCCTGAGCTGATCTGATCTCTTGAACTGACACTTTAGGATTTATTTTGAGGTATCATCAAGTTACAAATACAAAAATTNCTTCCTAACGCTTTATGAACCTTTCGTGATTATCTAGTAGTTGTCTTGGTTGTCATTGCCATTACTTATCTCGAGGGGACCTCCAGCTCCACTCTTCCGAGTTCTGCTTATCTAGTCCGATCTCCTGAGCTGATCTGATCTCCTGAACTGACACTTTAGGATTTATTTTGAGGTATCATCAAGTTACAAATACAAAAATTAGGATAGATTCTAATTCTAAAATGTTATAACGTTTAAGGTCATCTCATAACTTCTTAGATCTTTGTGATAGATCTTAAAATTGTTAAAAAATACTTGAGATCGATTGCAAAAGTCCCAGGCTTTAAGTCCCAGTCCTATTTTAGAAGTCGATAAGGGGTTATTACTTATTGATCTGATGAATTGCTCGGACTCACAATTAGGCTGGTAATGCTGTGTCAGGTTGTCAAACATATTTATTGATACCTATACCCAACCAATATAATAAGGTTCTTGCAATGTACAAGTCATGTTTAGTAGGTGTCGGATTCGTTTATTTTACGACTTTAGTGGGTCTACTTGATTATCATCTAATCTTACTAATTAAGGTTAAATTCAAATTTGTTAATTTTATGTCAATTTCGTATTGGGTTTGGAGGTCATGTCTAGAATTGTCAGACCCAATCAAGAAGGTTATGAGTTCTAATTTAAGAACAGACAGACATTGTTCTGCAAATAATGTCACAAGTTTAGTCTATACCCAGTCCAACACCTTGTGCAAATAATGTCACATCTTAGTCTTGTGACTTGTGACCATTCCACCCGTCCTAATAGTCTTGTTTAACCGTGTACCTAAATAAGTAATGACTTTTTCTATGGTAATTGCCATTTGTATAATGGAAGTTAAGCCCCACGGTTTATGCCAATCTCAAAATTGTGGCCATAATTGGATTTTTTTACTTATACAGAGACGTTGAGAAGGCTGAAGAGGTGGTGTTGCCTAATGGCATAAGGTACATACATTTTCTCACCAACAACATCAATGGCCTTTTGAAGCACTCAAATCGCTCCTACTCTCATTACAAGCACATCATATTTCAGGTACTATGAGCTAAGAGTTGGTGGTGGTGCTGCTCCAAGGCCAGGAGACTTGGTTGTAATTGATGTCAAGGGCAAAGTCCTAGGCAGTGAAGAAGCATTTGTGGACACATTTGGTAGTGACAAGAAGAAGCCACTGGCTCTGGTGGTGGGTTCAAGGCCTTATAGTAAGGGAATATGTGATGGGATAGAGTACGTTTTGATGACTATGAAGGCAGGTGGGAAGAGGAGAGTGGTGATTCCTCCTGGTTTATGTTTTGGGGAGAAAGGTGCAGATTTAGGTTCAGGTGTGCAGATTCCACCATTGGCTACTCTTGAATACATCATTGAGGTTGACAAAGTTTCTATTGCCCCAGCTTGATTTTTGAATATTTTTTGGAACAATTATTAGTTTTTGACTAAATTCCCAAACGTATGTTTCAATTTTCTTTTCATTTTATTTTATTTTTTCTATTTTTCCTTCTTGATTTATGAGTTACAAGAAAATGGTTATTTCAACCCTGTTTGCTTCATACTGGTGAATATATTGGATCCTAGAGGTTGACAAAGTCTCCATTGTACCAGCTTGATCTTAGAATGTTTTTGAACTATTATTAGAGATTAACTAAATACACATGTATTTTTCAGTTTTTTTATTTTTCTATTTTTCTCATGAGTTATCAGAAAATAATGATTTCGGCCTCATATGCTTGATGCTGTTTTGAGTGTATTGCATTCAGCCTGGAATGCACGGTGCTTCATTTATTATGGGTAAAACGCACTAGAGGGCTCAAACCTCTCCCTCCACCAATATCCCCCACTATAGCAGACCCTCACCACCACCACCACCACCACCATCATCAGTCCACATAATCCACATGCAGCACATCAACACCACCACCCTATAACACCGAAAATAGCGGTGTCATTGACAACACCGCAATTTCAACTGTAACTACGACAAAGTCATACTGTAGTTGTGATTAGAAGCGGATGTAAGATTTTTACAAAATTGGGTTAAACCTATAATTCATCAATAAATTAAAATCATAATGCTACCTACTTCAACAAAAATATTAATAATTGATATTATTATAATCACCAACAAAACCTAACAAAAAGAAGAAAAAAACTTCATACAAAAATAAGAGGGTGCTAAACTCCAGACTCCATTGGGTTTCTAGCAAACAACTTATAAGTACAATAAATAACCAAGAGGAAGCTTAATAAAAATAATTAATGTTTCATTCTATCACAAGTACATTAAAAATGAACTTAGATGCGAATTAAAGCAAATTGTATAAGAATAATCAATCCACAAGCACATTGTACAAGTGTAATCAATCGAAACAATTTAATTCAAAATGTAACCTATAAATGACAATATCCAAATATTGAAATTTTAAATATAATCTTTCATTTATGAAAAAATCTAACTTATTTTCTAAAGTGTAAAGCTACCCCTAACTTTTTTCAAACTTTTAACTAAAAAAAATTGATTTCTCAAAATTGTAAATAAACTCTAAAAAAAATTTGAAATTAGTATTGGGGCAAGTGCCTTCATTGTCCTTACAAAAATCTATGCCTGGTGATGGTGGAAGGTGTGGCAAATGTCGGATCCGTCTCCGTAGGTCAGAAATAAAAGTGTAACCAAGCAAAAGAATGTCAATATTATCTATTTTCATGACCACGAGACGAACGTGATACAACATAAATTTGAAAATGATGCGACTTATTGAAATGAATAATTGTCATAATATATATGTTTAGAATCTCTTGATGTTACGTAAGCTGTGATTAATGGTCAAATTCGAAATAAATAAAACTCTAACGTTGGCTAAATATCACAGTATTAATGTCATTTATTATTCCATTAATTTTTCACAAGAATATTATTTGTTAAATAGTATCTTTAATGGTGCACTATGAATGTGATTGCATGTTTGAGTTGGATTTTTTTAACTCTAAGCATGAGTGACTTGACTAGAAGGGTCTATTAAATAGTAAGAGAATAAGGTCGTGTTTGATAAAACTGAAAGCTAAACATTGAAAATTGAATATTGAATTTTAAGTGCTGAATATTGAATTTTTTTTAATTCGTAGACTATTTGGTAACAACTGAAATTATAGTATTGAATTTAATCAAACTGTTTGACAAATATAAGGAGCTGAAGTTTAAAAATTATTATTATTCTAATTTTGTCATTCTCTTTAACCATCTCTTCGCAACTATCTTATTCTTATCACTACTGTCACAATAGTGGTGGTAGAGATGGCGGCGATGGTGCTGATGGGGGGTAACAATACAATGGTAATAGTGGTGGTGGTGGTGATGATGGTGGTACAATGGTAGTGGTGGTGACAGTGATGGTTATGGTGGCGGCAACACTATGATGGTGGTGGCAATGATACAATGGTAGTGGCGATGGTGGTGGGTGGTGGCAATGGTAGTGGTAGTGGTAGTGGTAGTGGTGGTGGCTATGACACAATGTTGGTGGTGGTGGTGGCAGCGACAGTGGTGGTGGTGGTGGGACTGATAACATAATGGTGATGGTGGCAATACAATGATGGGGATGGTGGTGGTGGTGGCACAATAGTAGTGGTGGCGGTAATAGTGGTGATGGTGATGGTCGGCAATGGTGGTGGTAGTGGGGATGCAACTTGGGCGGGCCAACCCGAATTCAACTTGAGACCAACCTAAAAAAAATAGGGTTTGGGTTAGAAATTTTAATCCTTGGGTTGGGCCTGGGCTAAAAAATTGTAATCCGAATTGAATTTGGACAAGCCTCGGATTGTCGGGTTGAACCCGAATATTAAAATCGGGTTGAACCTAAATATACATAAATATATTTAACTAAGTTTAGTATTTATATTCACTCTTTAGAGTACAGATTTTCACTTCACTTCAAGTCTTTACCCTTGCGCCCCCATCACTCTCATATCCTTTTCTCACTCGTCATTCTTCCCTCTCTCTCTCAATCGTCACTTGTCTGAGTCGTCTTCGACTCTCAACCGCCCTCTCTCACTCGTCACTCATCCCTTTCTCTTCATCTGCACCTCGTCCTTCATCTCAGATCATTTGAAAAAAATCAAATCTACACTTAAAAAATCAAATCTATACTTCAAAAAATCAACCCGAATTAAGTAACCCAAGTCAACTTGACTTTTAATCCAAAATCTATCCAAATTAAGTAACCCGAATTCAACCCGAGTCTGCCCGAATTAAACTTGGGCAGTACTCAAATTGAGTACCTTAGGTTGAGGTAGGATTAGGGTTGAAGATTATATACNCCCAAAATCTATCCAAATTAAGTAACCCGAATTCAACCCGAGTCTGCCCGAATTAAACTTGGACAGTACTCAAATTGAGTACCTTAGGTTGAGGTAGGATTAGGGTTGAAGATTATATACCCAAGGTTGCGTTAGGGTTGACCTCTCAACCTGCCCAACCAACCCGAGTTGTACCCCTAGGTGGAAGTAATGGTGGTGGTGGCGACAATGGTTGGTGGTGGTTATGGCGACAGCAATGGTGGCGGCAACAATGGTGGTGATAGTGACAGTGGCACAATGGTGATAATGGTAGTGATTGCAGTGGTGATGGTGATGGGGGTGTTGGCGGTGGTACAATTGTGGTGGCGGCGGCGATGACATAGTGGTGGTAAGGGTATATTTGTNACAGCAATGGTGGCGGCAACAATGGTGGTGATGGTGACAGTGGCACAATGGTGATAATGGTAGTGATTGCAGTGGTGATGGTGATGGTGGTGTTGGCGGTGGTACAATTGTGGTGGCGGCGGCGATGACATAGTGGTGGTAAGGGTATATTTGTCCATTAAGAGAATTTGATAAAATCCTTACTAACTAATATTTTTAGTATTAAGTGATAAGTATGTGATTTGTTACTTCAAATTTTAGTTTATTTTGGAGAAGTGCTTAAAATATTAAATAGTATGAGTTTTACGTTATCAAACGAGTTTATTTTATTAAGTGCTTAAAATATTTAGTTTTAAACCTGAAGTGGTATTATCAAACACCCCCTAAGTCAAGATAATTACATTATAACAGATATGGGGAGTGTTTGGACGCCCAAAATGCATTGAATAGAATATCAAATTTGTGTTTATTCTCATCCAACTTAAACCCATCCAACCACCTCAATTGGGTTGGATATATTTGAATATCCTATCTTACACTGTGTTTGGTAAGCAATTTTTTACTGACATGGGGTCCATGGATTTGAGTGATGCCAATAGCATTTTTAGGTTAATTTGACCTATATACCCCTTAACATTTTCAATCCAAACTCGTGTTTAGATNATAAAATATCAAATTTGTGTTTATTCTCATCCAACTTAAACCCATCCAACCACCTCAATTGGGTTGGATAGATTTGAATATCCTATCTTACACTGTGTTTGGTAAGCAATTTTTTACTGACATGGGGTCCATGGATTTGAGTGATGCCAATAGCATTTTTAGGTTAATTTGACCTATATACCCCTTAACATTTTCAATCCAAACTCGTGTTTAGACCAAAAATTTGACCAAAACTCATCTCAACAAAAAAATAAAAGAAAAAAAAATGTTCTCATATCTATACTACTTTAAAATATTTATAAGTATGAAAAACATTTTATTTCCCTTGAAAAAATATATAAAGACAATTCTACACATTTTTAATAATTTATAAATGCTATTTATAACATAATAACTCCCATCCTCCACTATCTNCAAATTTGACCAAAACTCATCTCAACAAAAAAATAAAAGAAAAAAAATGTTCTCATATCTATACTACTTTAAAATGTTTAGAAATATGAAAAACATTTTATTTCCCTTGAAAAAATATATAAAGACAATTCTACACATTTTTAATAATTTATAAATGCTATTTATAACATAATAACTCCCATCCTCCACTATCTCCACTAAACTGTTGATTAGAGCAACTAAAAGGCAGAGCTAATAATTCACTCGTTTATATTATTATATCTATATTACCCTAAAATATCTGCTAAGTCTAATTTTTTTTTGATTTTTTACCCTTTCAGAATGTAATTAATTTCTCCTACATCTAAATTCGTTAATTAGGTCAGTCTAACATTAACATCACTGCCTTAATCTCCCCACACCGCCGCCCCTTCAACTCTGCCTTTGACATCAAAAACTAATGCACACTGGCACCCCTTCGTCTCCCTCTCTTNCCTAAAATATCTGCTAAGTCTAATTTTTTTTTGATTTTTTACCCTTTCAGAATGTAATTAATTTCTCCTAAATCTAAATTCGTTAATTAGGTCAGTCTAACATTAACATCACTGCCTTAATCTCCCCACACCGCCGCCCCTTCAACTCTGCCTTTGACATCAAAAACTAATGCACACT